GGACAATAGCACAACAACTCTAACTTATTTAAATAATGTTCTACATTTTGGGGAAGAGAGAGACAGAACTGGTGTTTTCTGTTGATTTTTTTCCCCCCTTCAACATCAGTGATTCTACGGCTTTTAAATGTGAAGTGGACTGTTTATCTGAAAGTGTGCTGGCAGACTGCCACCATATTTCTAAGATTAAAGAAAGGATTGAAAACAATCAGCTTTCTGAGGAACTGAAACCACGACAATATGTTTCTGTTTAATTTACAAATATATGTATATATTTAAGGCTAAACTACAGAACCAGAAAATTCCTACTAGTTAGTCTATCACCAGCATTATTACACTTTATTAGAACAGACATCATATTGAAGTAATAAGCATGGGAGGCCTTCATTTCTTCTTTGATCTATATTACTAAATGTCTGACTGGCTTGGATTTAAAATAAACCTTGGTATGTTTGCACTTGAAAAATGAAAAATGACCACAAGTAATAATTTGTTGTCTGTTTCCATATTCTCTAACTAAAAACTCTACTTTAGTTTGTACACTGCTGGATGCCAGGCGACATTAATCCAGTCACCCCTGCAGTGGCTGAACTTTCTTGTAGGAATACACACTCTAGTATGGGAGCAATGATGAGACATCACTTCATCAGCGTGGAGCTAGCTGAGATGAATTTAAGGTACAGGTCACAGCTTTCTCTGCTTTCTCACTTTTGCAGGCAGGTGTCATTACAGCCTTAAATACACAGGTATGTACTGGAGAAGGGTACCATGGAGCTCCTTTTTCTCTGGACATCTAAGGATCATAAAAAACCCTGCCAAATGCACCACAGATATGAAGGCAAGATTTTAAGCTGTTTAACGATGGTTCTTCAATGTTGTCATATGTGATTTTAAAGTATTTTTTTCTGTATAAATGTTGTCAATTTGTTTACAATAAATTAAATAATAATAAGTGGTGTTCAAGTGACATCTATGCCCAGCATAGTTGGATTCGGTTTTAGACTTGAGAGTTTGTGTAATTAGGCAGTAATTTTACTTAGGCTGAGGTACAGATTATAAAATTTTTTATAAGATTAGTTTATTTTCTTATTTTGAAAGCTAAATTCAGAGGCAGGAACACAGAGGGGAATTTCTGATCAGGAGTTGAAAGAATCTGTGAAAGAACTCTGTGAATCTAAATTATTCATCCTTAAAAAGCACAATGAGTACAAAATGCTATGGATTGTTACAAATGGCAGGATTAAAGGATATACAGGCATCCTTTAACTTTTCTCAGCCTATTAAAAGCATTCCTTAATTGTCTGTTTGAAAATGGATCTCAGTAACAGATGAGTTAGCACTCATAGAAAAGGAAAGAGCTTTGAAAATCTCACCACCTCTAAAAATTCCCATTCTACTGAGCATATCTCATCACTTTATTGCCAAGGTAACCATGGGTATCTCATAAACTCTTCAGTGCTTCTGGATGGTCAAATACCAGCACCGTAAAACACCTAGTTCTCTCTCTACAGATGATAAGGCTGTGCTTCAGACACAGGACTGAGCTCCAAAATGGATGCACTTCTGATTCTACATGATAACTGCAACTCATTTAGGAGGAAGAGAAGCCACTTACATTCCAGAAGTTTCAAAATTCAACAGCAACAGAAAGTGTTATGAACAAGTTCCCCTGGTAGGGACTCCATTTAAATCATTGTCCTAAGAAATATCACCCATCTCATCACATCACAAACTTTTCAGTCCCTCAACTACATAATGTTGTCCAAAATGGCGAAGGAGAAGAGGGGCCTTCACATACAGAACTACAGAACCAAGATTACAAGTGTGCTTTTAAGAAAGATTAAGGGTAACCCCTGAACCAAAAACTTTTCAAACTTTGATTAAAGCTTACCTGTTCGATCTAGCTCTCCTAGAATAAACATCCCTCTCTGTATGCACATACATCTTGCCAGACACATTCTGGCACGTAAGTGTTCTCAAGCACTGATACTAAGATTTTGAGCAGAAAGACTGGTGCTATGTCTCTGTTAATCCTTAGAGAAGACCACCCCTATTAAGAATGGTGAGCACCAGATAAAGCACCTAGACAGACAGACTGAGTTGGAGAATCAGTTGCCATGGATGATCTAACACCAAACACACCAGCACTCAGTAGCCCTGGGGCTTTCCTATTGATAAAGGATAATCATACTTTCTACTGGATAACACAGAGCTGATTTGAGCCATACAATGCTAGATGAGCTGAAGCAGGGAGAAATTATAATGCAAACTCAGAATAGATATGAGCCAAGGGCCTGAATACCCTGTCTCTACCATATTCCTGATTCTTGCTGGTCTGATGAACAAAGGACCAGGAGGATCCACTTTTCTGTGTTTTGCCACCTTAAAGACATCAGGTAATACATTCAAAGAGACAAGCTGATGTGCTAAGGAAGTTCAGTGTATGTGAGAGGACGGCTGATGACATATGGCTGCTTTTAGACACAACAAAAAATAAAGG